TATGGTATTCAGCTTTGTTTGGGTATTTTTCCACATCATTATAGTTGTGCTTTTAAAGTTGTAGCAACGTTTCAGCAGAATCTCATCTGCCATCATCAGGCTTCTGTATTGTGTCCGTCTGTGAGTCAGGCCCCCACAGTTGTTTCAGTTTTAAATTTGAGGCAGCCTATTGCTGTGCCAGAATGGTTTTTTCTTCATCCTGATTGGTTGGGAATCTTGGTCTGTGTTTATTGGTCTTGGAGTTTGCTGTGTTCTGCTTGATTGGTGTTTCTAATATCTCCTGTCTGTTTTGTGGCTCTTTTTGTATCTTGATTGGCTGGCAACATTGTGTTCCTTTATTGGAGGCCTTTTGTGCAGCTTGGCTCCGGGTAAATGGACGGCTATCATTTGTTAGGAAGCTAGGTTTCATCTGGGTGCCTGGTTGGGGTGTGTTTGAGCTGGAGGTATCAGGGGGGATCTGTCTGTGCCCAGGTGTTTGCCTGGCTTGTGGTGTCAAGATTTTTTTGTTTGTGAGTGCAGGCTTCCAAATGATTGACAGTCTGGTGGAATCATCTCTTCTATTCATGCTTTCTGGTCTTTTTTCAATCTCTATGGCTTCTCTGATGATTCTGTGGCTGGGGTTTTCTATAGTGGCTAGGGTTTTGGTGCCATTGAAGTTGATGCTATGACCTGTGGCTTCCATGTGTTGGACTAGTGAGGAAGTGTGTTCCAGCTTTTTGACTGCATTTTTGTGTTCATCCAGGTGGGTACAAGAGAGAGAGAGAGAGAGAGAGAGAGAGAGAGAGAGAGAGAGAGAGAGAGAGAGAGAGAGAGGGAGAGAGAGAGAGAGAGAGAGAGAGAGAGAGAGAGAGAGAGAGAGAGAGAGAGAGAGAGAGAGAGAGAGAGAGAGAGTGAGTGTATTCAGCTTTGTTTGGGTATTTTCCCACGTCATTGTGTGTGTGTGTGTATATATATATATATACAGTGTGTATATATATATATATATACAGTGTGCATATATATATATCAGAAACCCACTATTGACAGCTACTAAGTCTACATTTTTCTTTGCCAGATGCCTGCTACATCCTTTCATTCTCAGTCATCATGTTGAATACCAGTCTCCACAATCCGAATGTCAAAGATAAGCCGCCATTTGAGCGTTTCATGTCCATGAACAGAGGGATCAATAATGGAGCAGATCTTGAAGAAGTGCTTCTAAAGGTAATGTAAAAAAAAACAAAATTAAAATGTCATCTGTTTTATTGATACGAACACACTTTTTCTAATTTCTGGTGGTATTAATGATTGTGTGCACTTCAGAAATTCATTTATTTCCAGCATACTCATAGGATAGAGTGATAGGAGAGTTTGCTTAATTGTATCTATAAATAGCATTGTTTGCTAAGGAAAAACAAATTAGTGTGAGCCTATTAGACATACACTGTCATACGTCTAAAGAAGATGCACTAATTGCCAAGTACCCCAAAGAACTAGATTTGTTTTGCATTCACAGTTTGTAGGCCAGTTTGGCATATTTTAATTACATTAAATCCTAACAACAACGAAGGGAGTATGTGAGATGAGACACAAAAGGAAATCATCATATATTCAAGTAAAGAATTCCATCTAGATGATCTTACTTTTTTCAAACTTGGTTAGATTTGGATGGAACATTAAGAAAATACAAGGGTGTAGGCTAGATAAGGAATTTTTTAAAAAAAACCCTTAGAAAAATAAATGTCAAACCACTTCTGAATTGTTGCTAAGAAGATGACATGGTTGTGTCTATGTAATAACTAGGATCGGTAGTTTGTGGTACTGTTTGTATTTATTCTACGATCCCTAAACCAGATAGGGATATTCAAATTGTAGTGTGTTGATCAAATATATGAAAGATAAATAGAATCATACTGGGTAGCCATAAATGAACATGCCCACTAGCAATGCTCTTCACAGTTCTGTTTTATTAAACATTTGTATGCATACAGGCCTCCTTACATTAATGGGAACTCTTGATTATCACAGTCATATCTTCATTTATATATGACCTTACACTTTTCAATTGAATGTGGGCGACTGTTAGAATTATACAGTCGTTTTCATTTTTCTTCTTGCAGTGCTTAGGTTCTTAAATAGAGTTTCATAGCATGTTTTATTTGTACTATAGAGCTACTTGTATTTTCTGTAAAAGTTTGCAAATTTGTACAAATTCAATGTTGGCTTTCAAAAATTATCTTGAAACACTTCTATGTAACTTTGCATAAAGGTAAAGGTTCCCCTCACACATACATGCTAGTCGTTTCCAGCTCTAGGGGACGGTGCTCATCTCCGTTACAAAGCCCAAGAGCTAGCGCTGTCTGAAGACGTCTCCATGGTCATGTGGCCAGCATGACTAAATGCTGAAGGTGCACAGAATGCTGTTACCAAAGTGGTCCCTATTTTTCTACTTGCATTTTTACATGCTTTCGAACTGCTAGGTTGGTAGAAGCTGGGACAAGTAATGGGAGCTCACTCCATTATGTGGTGCTAGGTATTCGAACTGCCAAACTGCCAACCTTTCTGATTGACAAGGTCAGCATCTTAGCCACTGAGCTACCACGACCCTTTGCAACTTTGTATAGAAATCTGAAATTACCTTGTGAGTAAAAGCGGAGCTTTCTGAGTGAGCAGTTTCAGGAAGTTGCAGGGACATTACATAATATATGATATCATATTCCAGTAGTCCAATGTTATTACTTCATTGGGTGAGAAATCACTTTTAAAAACCTTGGAAACCTAGCAATAAGTTACATGCATATACACAGAACTTATGGTACTCCCAGATTTAAGAAAATGCTGTAAAATGTAAATCCACTTCCTGAGCATATTTGTGTGTGCTTATCTTTGGGTCATTTTTTTTCCTGATGATTGACTGGCCAAGTTCTTGCAGTTTTCTTGGCAAGATTTCAGAAGTGGTTTGCCATTGTGTGCTTCCTATGGCTATGAGAGAGTGACTGGCCCAAAATCACCAAACTGACTTTGTGCTTAGACTATCTCCTGATTTCTAGCCTGATACCTTAACCACTCCACCAAATTGGCTCTGGAGCATAGAGTGAGTTAATTTTCAGTAGTGATGAAATGCTCTTTTCTTTCACTTTCCATCCATTTGTTTCAACGTACTTATTAGGACTAAGTTGGTGAGGCTTATGCGTGATTCACAGCATATGCTTTAGGATTGTGGTTTCCAATTAGATTGAGAGGAATGGCACAAAAAATAAGTTTCATTGCAGGAAGTGACACACACACACACACACACACACACACAGAATGAGAGAGAGAGAGAGAGAGAGAGAGAGAGAGTAAAGAGAGAACTGATAGAATGAAGTGGTTTAACTAATTTCTTTCACTTTTTTAGGAAACTGCAAAACCTATATCTATCTCATTTTGATGAATGAAGAAGTTTGTTTAGATTCCATTGTATCAGTAGTAATACTAAATGTCTGATGATTCAGTCAAAACTGTATGTAACTATATTACATATGTTTAGGGACTCAGGTTGCTTTGGTCTATATCAGGGGTGTCAAACTCGATTTCATTGAGGGCCACATCAGGGTTGCGTTTGACCTTGTGGGAGGTGGGTACGGGTGTGTAGCTATGGGGCCTGGCCAGCTTGATGGCACTCGAGGCTCTGTTTTCAGCCACAATGGCCTTCTGCACCACTCTGCCAGCAAAAACGGAGCCTGGCGGGGCTGCACGCAGCCCGCATAAGCTCTGTTTTTGGCCACAACAGCCTTGTGCAGCCCTCTGCCAATGAAAACAGAACCAAACACGAAGTCAAAACATGGCCAAACACAGAGTCTGGGAGGGCCACACATGGCCCTTCCGAGGTCCATTTTTGCTAGCAGAAGCACCGCGGGCCAGTCCTTCGCTGTTTCAAGGGCAGCACTGTGGGCCAGATCTAAGCACCCTGAAGATCGGATTTGGCCTGTGGGCCTTGAGTTTGACATCCCTGGTCTATATGGTTAATCTTAAGAAAGTGCAAATTTGCCAGTTAATAACAGAAAGGACTGTCCATTGAAAGGGCTGGTTTGAGATCCAGTCAAGGTCCAGACCAATCAAAAGGAACAGATGGCATAGGAAGGGAGAGATTCTACCTGAGATCTCGAATCAGGAGGCCTATCAACTGCTCCAGAGAAATAAATACATTGACCTGGTAAACCGAACATTAAAACTCATCAGGATTTTTCCTTGCTTTCTCTTCTCCTTTTCCCTGGCAGAATTTATTCGAGAGTATCAAAAACGAACCCTTCTCCATCCCAGAGGACGACGGAAATGATCTCACCCACACTTTCTTCAACCCAAGCCGGGAAGGCTGGCTCCTCAAGCTAGGTAACCTGCTTGTAACTTGCTAATAAGGGGGAAAAAAACCTTGTTCCTCAACTTCTACTCAAATTTAGGTCTTTTTTTTCAAGGAAAAGGGTTGTAGCAGAGGACTGCAGCATCAGCAGAAGGCAGCCAGCCAGCCAGCCAGCCTTCAGCTATGGGGTGAGAATGACCCCTGGTGTTTGGCTCTGGTATATATTTCTCTAAAGACTCCTGCAGATGACACAAAGCCCTAACAGAGTGGCTGATTTTTTGCTCCTCACTTGGCCTGGGTAATTTGACTGGCATCATTTAATGGGCTGGAGGAAAGCCACCTTCAAAGAATGCTGGGGACACTTTTTCAAAGGATAAATTGAAAGCTATGTAGCTATGTTGACAGGCGTTCCAAGCCTGCATAATAAACAGAATTTATGAACGGGAGATTGGAACCGGAATTGTCAAGAACCAGTAATTTGACCAATAATTTGTCCAGCAGCCCACCATTCAAAGACAGATGATTTAATGAAATGCTCTTTTCTTTCCTTTCTCTTCCATATACTTTGTTTCACTAATTCATCAACCTGCTTGTTAGGATTAAGGCGGTGAGGTTTACTTCTGATTAACAGTGCATTCTTCTGCCAGACTGCTCTTTGAAGTTCTCCTCTGTGCTCTTTAAAGGTATAAATCAAAAGCCATAAAGAAAGAATAAAATATTTTGGCTCCAATTGAATCAAATCCAATAAGCTTCCTGGGGCAAAGTCCCAATTTTTACCTAAACATCATCTATTCCTTCTTCCTTCACCAAGAAGCCAAGCAATACTGTGAAACCTTTGCCATTCCATGACTTGTTTTAAAGGGAAAGAAATGTACAGGAAGCCCTAGATTTATTACCATAAGTCAGAATTTCTGTGGCCAAACAAAGTGGTTGCCAAGAACTGACCTATTTCATGACCTTTTTTGCCACGGTTAAACAAATCACTACAGTTGTTAAATGAATCCAGCTTCCCCCATTGATTATGCCTGTCAAAAGCTGTCTGTAAAGCTTATAATGATAATCACATAACCCTAGGATGCTGCAACTGTCATTAATGCCTCCTTAAAATGTTTTAATTTTTTAAAAAACTTTTAATTCTAACTTTTTAAAATTGTATATACTGTTTCATATTCCCATGTTTTATTATGCACTGCTCAGAGTCCTTCTCTGAGGGAGATGGATGGTTCAGAAATGTGAAAAACAAACAGACAGACAAACAAACTGGTATTTAACTTTTGATGTTTTGATGACGTTTCTGACCTCTGGCTGTACTAGCTACAGCAAATATTGTTTGTTCATTAATTCATATTAAGATATATAGTACCTCACATTTTATGGATTTATGAAAAGAAGCTTTACCATTATCTCTCTCTCTCTCTCAAAAAAAAATCTAATTAGCTCATTTCATTCTTTTTTTGTTGCAGGAGGCAGAGTGAAGACCTGGAAACGCCGCTGGTTCATTCTGACGGATAATTGCCTCTACTATTTTGAATACACCACGGTAAGAGCATCGTCAGGGATCATCTTCAGTGCATAAGATTTTTTGGCTAGAAATTAGAGCTGAGGTGAATCAGAAAGTTGTCCAAGTTTCACGCTGACTGCTCTGTTGAGCCATAACTGTATTCAGGAAGAGCATGGAGAAAAGCCAACTACCGGCTGATATATCCAAGCAGGAGTCTTCCAGCTTTATGTACTTCCACATTACCACACCTCAGGTTTGGTAATGCTTGGTTCACTACTTCTGCTTGTAGAGGTAAGCAATCAACATGAGAAAACATTGATGAAAGGATGCAGAATCCTTCGTGACACTGAGATCATGGTTTCAATTCATGGCAAAGTGAATGAATATCTGTGTTCTGATCCAGCTCCCCAAACAAGACAAACCCTCTGAAGTTAACTCAAAGATTCCTTTATTAGGAGCACCAGCAACCCCAGAAAAAAGTTTCTTTCCAACCGCAGGCTAACAAGTCTGTCCAGCTGGAAGATGAATAGTTGTCTGCCACATCTATTCATCTCCACCCGCTGCCTTTAATCCCCAGAGCTAGGTGGGGCTTCGCTAGCAGCAGTGGCTCTTCCTTCTCAAGGATCAGCCCATGGATTTCCACTACTCTCCTCTCATTGGCCTTCTGTGCATCCACGCATCAGGCACTGGACCCAGCTGTTCCTCCTCTTCCTCATCAGCCATTTCCAGACCTGGGGGCTGTTGACTCTCCATCTGAGGGCTGACAGGTGGCCCAGGCTCCGCCTCTGTCTCTCTCTCTCTCTGCCAGCTCCAGTCCCTCTTCCCCCTCAGAGCTCTCAGGTTGCCTTGATGCTGACCCTGACTCCCACGCCTCCTCCTCCTCCTCTGATTCAGCTGCTGGAGGGGCTGGCAGCTGACAGGCCACAAGAATCTGATTGCATTTGCAGAAAGCTCTGTAGCTCTCCAAAATTATATGGGGGAGGTATATATCACCTGCCGATCATATTCTCATTACTTTGTCTTTCTGGAATGAATTCTTCCCCTGATTCCTTTCTAAAGCAGAAGTTGTATGACTTGGTTTGCCTTTCCTTGGTGTAGCAATGTGTGTGTGTATGTGTGTGTTTGTGTATGTGTGCATGTATGTATGTATATGTAAATGGATATGGATATAGCATGTGTATATGTGTGTTATGTATGTGTATGAATAGATATGCACTTTCTTTTGAGAGCAAGCAACAAAATTTCATTTTTAATGTGTGCTAGTGTGCTTACAGTAAAAAATGACAGTAAAGGTTAGTCTTAATCTTAATTCCAAACTCTTAAGAAATTATTATTTTGCTTCCCATTTCAGCTTTAAGGCTTTTTCTAAGATGAAACTTTTTTTTGCTGAACTGGAATCCCATGCAAGAAAAAGGGTTAAGTCTTCTATCAGACATCTTGAAATGGAGACTTAAGATTTACCTTAATTTTACTGATATTATGTGCACACTAGGACAGTTCACTTATGATTTCTGTTGTTTATTAGGACAAAGAGCCTCTAGGGATTATCCCACTGGAAAACCTATCAGTTCGACCAGTAGATGATCTCAAGAAACCAGTAAGTCATTGCCATTAGGTTTGTAAAACATGCTAGATTGTGCTAAAATAAGTTAATTTTTGCTTTAGTGTATTGCAGGAACAGTTTGATTAGATGCAGCCATAGCCCCTTTTATATTTTTATTATAATTTTGTGTTTTAACTGCTGTTAATTTATTATTATGTTTTTATCACAGAAAATAAAAATATAATCAATATATAACAAATATACAAAAGGTATGTGAGAACATATTAAATACATGTTTTATTTGTTTGGCTATAGCTTGATATGGAAATTCAGCAATTATGTTTTATTATTCCATGTTTACAATTTAGTGTGTTATGTGAACCATTTAATTCTGACTGAATTGTTAAGAATTCGCTTGCTTGCTTTTTTTGCTTATATCCCCCTCTGCCCACACACACACAGACAAACACCTTTCTTCTTTAGAAGTTAGTCATGATTGTGAAGTTTATGGAATCCAGTCCCTAAATTCCCTTTGTTCCTATGTTATACATTGTTGATTTAGGATTCCAATGTATCATAGATAGAAATATGTTGCACTGCAGAGCATTTCAATTCAGGCTTCATGCTATTTCTCTAGTTAAGCATCCTCAATCTGGGGGCAAGATTGTCTCTCAGGACATCTCTTTGGGATTGGATTATAATAACTCATCTGCAAACTCCAGCATGGTTGGTCAGACTGGAAATTCCAGGGGTTATAATTTCAGAATGGAGGTTAACAAAACTGGAAACTGGTCATGAATTTCTTAAAGGTATCTTTCTCCCATAAGGCCTTTTCCTCTGTAATTTCTTTGCTCCAAATCCCACCAAAGAAATGTATATTTAAGGATTGAAAACAAAGCAATATGAATCTCAAGATCTCAAATTCTTTACCTTTTTGTACACATACTTTTTTATTAAAGGATTCCAATTTTTAAAAGTGTTTACCTTTATGTTGTTAAGTTCAAACAAATCTATTTTCCACATGAAAAATTCACTGTAATGAATTCCAAAATCATATAAATTTAACTGGACTCTTAATCCTTCTAATGTGCAGCTGCCAAAAAAAAGCCAATGCAGTCCTAGGTTGCATCAATAGAGGGACAGCTTCAAGATCACAAGAAAAGATAGCACTGCTCTATACTGTGAGGCCACACTAGGAATATTGCATCCAGTTCTGATTGCCGTGATAGAAACAAAGACCCTAGACAGAGCAACAAAATGATACGCAGTTTGGAGGCTAAACTGGCCAAATGAGGAGTTAAGGGAAGTAGGTAAGGTAAAGGTTCCCCTCGCACATACGTGCTAGTTGTTTCCAGCTCTAGGGGCGGTGCTCATCTCAGTTACAAAGTTGAAGAGCTAGCGGTGTCCGAAGACATCTCCGTGGTCATGCAGCCAGCATGACTAAATGACAAAGGCACACAGAACGCTGTCACCTTCCCACCAAAGTGATCCCTATTTTTCTACTTGCATTTTTATATGCTTTCGAACTGCTAGGTTGGCAGAAGCTGGGACAAGTAACGGGAGCTCTGTCCGTTACATGGCGCTAGGGATTTGAACCGCCGAACTGCCAACCTTTCTGATCGACAAGCTCAGCAACTTAGCCTAATGAAGAGAAGGATTAGGGATGACATGATAGAGATCTTTCAGTACTTTAGGGCCAGTCTCAGAGAAGAAGTGATTAGTCTTATTCTCCAAAGTACCCTGAGGGCAGAGCAAGAAGCAATGGGTGGAAGAGAGAGATCCAACCTGGAACTAAAGATAAATTTCCTGACAGTGAGACCAATTACTCAATGGAACAGCTTGCTTCCTGGAGTTGTGGATGCTACATTGCTGGAGGTTTTCGAGAAAAGATTGGCCATCCATTTGTCTGAGATGGTAGAGGCTCTCCTGCCTTAGCAGGGGTTTAGACTAGAAAACCTCCAAGGTCCCTTCCAGCCTTAAAATGACTCTATGCTTCTGTGTTTCTTCTTTTTGTGGAGATGCTTTTAGTCCACCATTTCCTCATCTGGAAATCCAATTTTATGGCTTTTTTTTTACAAGTCTACCAAGCATGATAAATACAACCCTTTTAAAACTAAAGCCCTCTTGCAACCAGTTATTCTCTTGAATTCATTTTATATTCTCCATGCTCTTGTTTGAACAGCTCTCAAAAGGTTAACAATTTCTCTCTACCTGCTGTTTCTTTCTTATGAAATGCTTCTTGTGCTAAGACCCATAAAGGCATTTATAGGCACAGTCTGGGTTTATATTTATTCCATATTTTTAATAAGATAATGTTTTGTGAAATCTACATTAAAATTGTCTTTCAAAAGATAAGAAGAAGCCCTTTATTTCAATGTTTGGACTCATCAAGGACCCAAGATACAGACTTCACAGAGGTCAGGATGATCTCATCAGAAAACTTCACTGGAGAAAAAGCTAATACCAGATCAGAAGCCAGTTTCCTTCCTTGTCTCCTAGTGTACCTGTCATAATGAAAGGGAGAGGAAATGTCATCAATTATACATAATGCCATATGCCATGCTGGAAAATTATTAAAGGAGTAGACCAAGTTAAAGCAGCTAAACTACTCTACAAATCTGATATCAGATCTTTTAACTTCTTGCATATCATTTGGGTGGATTATCCTAATGAGATTAAATGGCTGATTCTTGCCAAGAACCAGCTAAGTATGATCAAAAACAGATTCCTGGCCAGTATTTTCCTTTAATTAAACAGCTGACACTATGCCAAACCTGCACATGCTGGGAGTTGCTTCAAAAAAAAAAATCAGCATTAGATTGGGTGGTAGAGCATAGATATATTCCCAGATCACAAGCATTCTGAAGATCTGGGGTTCAAGTGAAACCTCAACTATGGCTTTTTCCAGAAAACCAGTTTTTCTGTATTCCAAATCTTCAGAATCTAATTAAAAATAGACTAAACATTGGATCTGGGCTGTTTTGATTATTTTCAGATCTATTCAGATAAGTATCCAATGAATATGGGCTTATTTATATGTTGATGCCTTATCCTTCTATCCCTTCACTCTCTGGTTTGGTTACTTTCTTATTTTCAGCAAATCAAAAACCAAGGTTAAAAAACAGGAACAAAACCTAATGTCTATTACTGGTCTGTAAAATACGCAAGTACCATAGTTTGCCGGTCCAGCAGCAATCAATTGATCTATTTAAGATGCTTATTTTCTGCTTTTTCTTGTATGGTCTCAGGTGGCTAATACAAGAATGGTAAAATGCAATTAAAACTGGGGTATGCTGAAATCCATCAAATGACTAACGGAAGGGAAAGAAAGCATGGGAGGAAAACAGAGAAGGGAAAGTGCTCGGGCAGAGGACTCTTTCATGTAATATCTTCCATGATTTAGCATTTTATTGGAATTGAATCTAATTAGCTCCCAATATCCTCTTATAATGTACATTGTAAAATAAATGTTGGTACTTTATGGATGGGGGTGGTCTAGGAACTGTGCTGCATCATTTGGAGAAATGTAAAATTCTCATTTTGTAAGATAATAATTGCAATAACTAACTGCATTCCATTCTGCATATTAGTCCATATGTGGCAGACTAGATGAAACCAGTTGAATACATAAATCCACATGTAAATGAAATAAGTGTGCAAAAAGCATCCTCTTCCAGATGTATTGGATTAGCAGCCCTATCATCCCTAGCTATCCCGGTCAAAGTAAATGAAAGTCCTTTAGGATCTGCAGCACAAAAGAGATGTGCACATACATTTCAGATATTGGAGAGAGTAATATTGTTGATTCTCAGTACTTTCCACATTTTTCCTCTCAGAATTGCTTTGAGCTCTTCAATGCAACCTGCAAAGGGCAGAAGATCAAAGCTTGCAAGACTGATGGGGATGGAAGGGTGGTTGAAGGCAAGCACCAATCCTATAAGATCTCTGCAGCCTCCAAGGAGGACCGTGACCTATGGATTGAAGCCATACGGTAAGGAGGAAAGGCTGTCATTCTATGATGGAACTATGACATAGAAAAGGAGAAAAATGTTCAGTAATAAGGAATATCATAATAATTTTAGTGGGGCCTTAACAGAGGCACCTATCATTTTATGAAACTGTTCTTCTGTGAGATATTGCATTTGAAAATATTGTATTATTCTGCCTCTGGTGTTTTGACTCCTATGCAATCATCAAGTAAGAAACATGCATGTATTAACCACCTGACTTCATTTACTTTTGAGGTCTCCCCTACCCCTCAAATTATGACACAAGATGGATAGTTTTGGTGATGAAAGTTGCCAAGGAATGAGAAGTGATAGAAAGCAACATTGTGAGAAATCATTTCATCCTATAAATCAAAGAAAAGAGAGTACTGGCAAATATTTTAAATACTGATAAAAATATCAACTTAATTACCAAAAACTGGGAGGGAATAATGTTTTATATTCTTTTCAGCTATACTATCTTGCTTATTTCCTACTTTCCTTGCCATGATCATTCTAAGTATGAAAAAAGCTCTCTAAACCCAGTATCCATTTTTTTAACCACCAAGGTTCCCTAGAAAGAATATGAAAGCCTTTGTCAAGCCCACCTGCCTGTATAATTTTATTGACACATTACCTCTAAGCATGGAAGGTAGCTATCACATGGCCTGTTGCTTTTCCTAGCTTTAAGCTTAAAGTTTCCCTTGTGTTCTGTGAAGGAGGTGCTTTGCTAACAGCCAAATCTTAATATTCTTTCTATTTTGCTTTATATTAGAACCAGCATCACTAGAGATCCCTTCTATGACCTGGTTGCTGCTCGTAAGAAAAAAGTTACCAGCAAAAAATGAACCTTCTGGCTTGTACCACCTTGTTCAGTGGATGATTAATATCAAGAAAATATTTCTTTGAAGTCTGTAATGGCAATATTCCTCAACCATCTCTGAGACAGACAAGCAAATGAAAGGATGATCAGTGGCCTGCTTCCATTCTCCAGAGTCAGAGTATGCAGAATCAGAAACCGGGACAGGAATTCTTTCTGTACAGAAAACAAGCATGGATTTCTGAGTAAATGGAGCAGGATATACTTGTGTGAGTGTGACTAGGTATGGGTGGGGGAAACCAGGAAATGGTTTCAACAGTATTTTTATACTTGTAAGACTAGATTTTCCTACATTGACACCTGCCTCCTCTGACTCACTGACTTGAGGTTTCTTGAATAATTATGCTACCTGAGATAAATTTACTTGGAATAATAGGATGAAGGACAAAGTGAACTAATAAACTCAAGGGATGCTATGAAACCTGGCCAGAATAAACACATATTACTGTGTGGTTGAGTTTGGCAAATGGCTGGTTTGGACCTGGAATTATTGCCAAGTTGATGGTAATACTGAATGTCAGTCTTTTTAGGACAGAACCTTCCAGCCAAAGTTAGGCTCTAAACAATAATCAATGCAATGAGTTTTTAGTTCTTATATTCTTTGAATTGGCTGCTTCATCAGTGCTGGAACAGTTAAAAAGTGTGTTTACAGATGGATATTTGTTTACTTCTCTTCTCCTCTGAAATATTCATTAGCCTAGAGGATCAAAAGCTAGTTTTTTTTGTTTTTTGTTTGCTATGGAAGACTTACATTCAAACTCCATCTTGACAATAGTGATCATGAGAAAATCCTTCTCCTCTGAATTTTCCTTCTCCTCTGAATTTTTCATCTATACAATGAGTTCTGTAAAATAATAAAATTTGTTTAATGTGGTTATGAAGAACTGCATTGTTGTAAGAATGATGCCTGCATGCAAATGAGTAGTACAATATTTTGTTTAAGGAGATGTAAAGAGTTGCTTGTTATTAAAATACACTCCCATATGCACACTTAAGCCAGAATTCGGGTGTGTTGTTTTCCACACTGATTCAAACAGATGGAGAATTAACTGTTTTTCTTTTCAAATGAAAAAAAATGAAAAACATCTTGAGGCCTTTTACACTTGTGGTTTTGTTTTTATTTTATCAAGTTAAAACAGAAGCAGGAGGTATGTTATATGTCTCTGCTGCTTTTCTTTTTTCTTATGAATTCCACTATACAATTTGGAAAAATGCCAAATATTTGTTACATGTGAAAAATCTTAAATTCATCAAATGGTAACCCTATTCAAAGACAGAAAATTCAGTCAAGGTCCAGCTTGGATGACCCAACAAATAATTTGGTATAAGATAGATTCTAGTATTAACATTGATAGGTTTGGAAGCTGATGACACTTGAGGATATAGAAGATGTACTTCATATTCAGAATAAGGAATATACACAGCACAAAAATTATCCAAGTCAATTTTGAGTCTTATCAGCACTCCTAAAGCATATTGCTTGATCTAATTCACTACAAAGATCCAATCTGACTTTAATCCATGATCTTAAATAGAGTCTGAGAAAAGAGAGCTCAAAACAATCTTGTATAGAGATTGCATAGTATGTATAGTTCTAGTATATGGAAGAAACATGTGCTTGTTTTACTTGTTACAGAATAAAATGAGATTTGCGTGAAAGCTATACATGTAGTGGATGAATGAAATACAACCACTATCGAAAGAATTCATATAAGGGGATTGAATTAATAGCCTTTAAATTTGGCTTCTCTATTTAGAAAAGTGCCTACAATTTTGTCATTTTAGAAATAGAGTAATAACCTCTCTGGCTAGAAACATCCCTAATTCTCAGATAGGTTGAGAGGTATTTTGCAAAGAGAAGGGTGCTCTGAGGAACCCAAAGGTGCTTTTTCAAAAGGCAACTGGACTTTCTTTTTCCTTGAAGACGTTTTGCTTCTCGCCCAAGAAGCTTCTTCAGAACTGAAGAAGCTTCTTGGATGAGAAGCGAAATGTCTTCAAGGAAAAACAAAGCCCAGTTGCCTTTTGAAAGAACACTTTTGAGACAACCATGAGCTGGGTGACTGAGAATCTCCATAGACACCATTGAAGAATGGTGATGCCCTTTCTGAATGTAATAGAGGTGATTTGGGGGCATTAAGGTAAAAGTATAAGACATGAACCCATCATGGGTTAGTTTATGCATAGCTGAAAGTACCAGACAGCAATGAGGGGACAAACAATGAATACCATCTGCTGGCCAGTGAGTGAAATATTTATCTGAATTTGAATATTTTAGAGAATGAATATGCAACGCAATGTATGATTCAGAAACTTTGGATACAGTGTAATACAGGAAGAATGGGAGAAAATGTGGACAAAAGATCTAAAATTTACACAAAACTAAAATTTAAAAGAAAAATTTTATAAGATGATGTACCATTGGTATTTAACATGTAGTGGATGTGTGAATATCAGAGTAGAAATAATTAAAGATTTATTGATGCTAATCTATGTACAATCACTTTCTGTTCTAGCACCCTCTGTTTTAACTAATATATAATCTGTTCTAGTTTCTATTGTTGTATTTACTTGTTACTTGAATTATTTATGCATTATTGTTCTTATGACTTAATTAGATTACTTTGTCTTCATTATTGCAGTGATTACCTTGTCCTGTAAGTACTATATTATACTGTACTATAAATTAGTTTTTAAACAAACATTTAGGGCAAAATTCAGGCTGTGGTGACTTCTGCATATCTTTGCTGTTCTTTAAGCTGGGCAAGACAGAACAATCCAAAAGAGGAATTGTGGGTGCTATTCGCATAATGTATGGATGGTAGCTAAATTTAGATGGTGGATTAATTATGTGCATGGTGATTATAATAATGAATTACAGCTAGGAAACCAACAACTCCTTTTTTCTTGCGTATGGATAAGCAGTGACTATTCCATGTCTTGCTTTTCCTTTTTGCAGATAATCTCGCCCCTTTCATCTCCAGTTGTGGTTATTCTTTCTCTCTTTTCTTCCTGAAGAGGGCTCTGTGCACAAGGAAATTCAGACACCAAGTTCCTTTTCTTCTGTTTGGCACTGCAACAGGGCAGGTGAATTAATTCCAACAGGCAGAGTGAATAGATATTAGAGTCAAATCACGTGCGAGCACAGGAGATGCATGTGAAGGTTTTTCTTGAATGAGGCTCCTGTGTTGCTCTTCCTTTTTGCTAATGGTGACAATCCTCCAAGGAGTTTGCTTATTTAGTTAGTTAGTTAGTTAGTTGACTAGCATGTATCATACATCTCCCCATAGAACGAGGATGAAGAAACCTCTGTGAGGGAAAAAAGCAACTTTGCACAGAAAATGGAAATAAATTACCAAATATTCTGAAAAGTTTATATATGCCAGGAGCTTTCTAACCAATTTAGCTCAACACAGAAACTTCAAGAAAGGCTTGGTCTGTAACCACCTGTTCAAATTCTTGAGGATGTGCAAAGAGAATAAATTTTCAGGTACAAAATAATTCCAGCTGGGTTTCTTCTTCCCAGATCTCCTAGGCTACTTTGGAGCTTCTTCCAGATGAAATTAAATCTATTTCTAGTTACTCCCTCTCCACAATGTTTCCTTAGTAAAATGAATAAAACCCTTCAACATGACAAGAAAATGTTTTTAAGCCTTAAAGAACATTATGTCAGGCAAAAATTCAGTCATGTGAAGCTCTTGGTGCATTCTGAACTTGGTTGTTTGCTTGCAGACATTTCATTA